AAACAGTCAGAATAATTCAATTTCACCATATTAAAATGAGATTGCTACAGTTTTTACAGATATAACTGGTTCTGATAATGAACATAAGTCTACATCTGCATCCTAACTCAAGCTACTATCAAATGTGTATTTCTAAGATAATATTATTATTGTGTAGTATTAGTATTATGTTATATTATTAATATTATCAGGCAACACAAACCTGTTTCTTGATTTGAAACAATATTACTCATTAGAACATGCAGAACTAAGAAATAATTTTCTTTTTCTTTTTAGATACTTATTTTGTTAAGGAAAAATGACTGGAAAAGTGTTTGCATGTTCTGACCATAAAGAATAGTTTAAAAGCACAATTAATCGTCTGGTTTTTACAACTTTCACATTGTAGCAAAAATCTGCCTTTAAACTTGAAAGAAATTAAAATGTAACCTTTATCGTCATAATTATCGATATCGACTGATATGAAAAAAAAAAATATTGTGATAATTTTTTGGCCATATCGCCCAGCCCTAATTATTAGGGCCCGAGCACCGATGGTGTGAGGACCCTATTGGAATTGCTCCGTTTCTTCTTCTTCTCCAAAATGAATCGCATTTGAGGGCCTAAACATGCTCAAAAACTCACGAAACTTTGCACACGCGTCAGAGGTGGTGAAAATTTACGACTGATGTGGGTTTCAGAATTAGGTGTGGCAAAATGGCTCGATAGCGCCACCTATAAAATTTCAACAGAGTGTGCCTCGAGCTACGTTTCACGTACACGAACGAAACTCGGTAGACACTTGTAACACACCAATACCTACAAAAAAGTCTCTTGGTACAAAATCCAAAACCCAATAGGAAGTCTGTTATTTTGAATTTCCTGTATGATTTTTGTGCAGTTTTTGCCATTTTCAGGCCTCGTACTTTAACGAACTCCTCCTACAGTTTTAATCGGAGTATCTTCAAATTTGCTGAGTGTTATCATAAGGCCTTTGCGATTCTAAATTGTGAAGATCTTGAGTTTTCGTCAAAGGGCTTAGAGTCTGCCTGGCCTGAACACATCTACATGCCAATATGCAGTTATAATTTACTGCGCCACCTGTTGACAACAGGAAATGTCATATTTTTTTACAATAACTAAAGCATTAAATGGCCAATCTGACGTAACTATCTTGTTTTATACAAGTCCTGGCCTGAAGACATCTAAAGGCCAGTATTCAGATATATTCATAACGCTACCTGTTGGCAAAAAGATATGTCATGCTTTACACTAACTTAAAAACGCAATGTTCAATCTGCCCCAAACTTCACACGTTTGATAAGAGTCCTGGCCTGAAGACATCTATATGGCAAAATTCAGTTATAATCATAGCGCCACCTGTTGGCAACAGGTTATGTAATGCTTTACACTAACTTAAAAACGCAATGTTCAGTCTGCACCAAACTTCACGTTTGATGAAAGTCCTGGACTGAAGACATCTACATGCCAATATTCAGTTATAGTCATAGCGCCACCAGCTGGCAGCAGGAAGTTTGGCACATATAAATGACTGACATATTCCTCCTATATTTACCACTTTAAATGCATATTGCCCACCGTTCGCTGTTTTCCTAAAGCCTTCGGGTGGCGGTGAGTCCGGGTGCGAGGGCCCTTTCATCTCTGCTTGCAGCTTTAAATTTTTTTGTTATTTAGTTACAGGTGTGCAAACTTTTTTTCCTCCTCATATTTGTTTCCCCCAATGTCAATTACTTTTGTTTTTTGTGGGGTGTGTGAAATGTTCAGATAATAAAAGCCTCACTATATGATCATGCAGAACAGTCCATCTGCATATTTCTTTGTACATGTAAGCTCTTAAAGTGTTTGACCCCGTTTTGTTTTGCTTGGTGTAAATTTAGCACACCACTGTAAGGCTCAGCTCATGGGAAACTCTCACCTCAGCACACACATTTGCTGCCTCATAACACACGCTCATTTTTAAGTTTTAGTGCATAATACTAGCCAAGCAGGTGGAGTAAATATGATTTTGAAATTGAGCAAGGAATTTTAATAAGCATCAGCCAACATCTTTTTAGCCAACAAGATTTTATTAAATGTTTGTTTATTTACTCCATTTATGTCTAGCATAGCGATTAAAAAATACTAGAGGTGAGCTGTAATGTTGTCGGATGCACATTTTCATGCAATAAGTTGCAGATAAATTGTGGCTTCCTGAGATTTAAATTTCACGTTTTGTTATACTAGTCAGGTTAGTGAGGTTGTTTTTAGGGATGCACCGATGTATCGGCCGCTGATATTTATCGGCCGATTTTTGATTATTTTAAAGCCATCGGCATATACAGTATCTCAAAGAAGTGAGTACACCCCTCACATTTTTGTAAATATTTTATTATATCTATTCATGTGACAACACTGAAGAAATGACACTTTGCTACAATGTATACTTAATGCGTTTTACAGAGATCAAGACTCTCTTCATGATTTTTTTTCTTTTTGAGTAAATTAAACACTGTACGTTATTATTATTGTTATTATTATTGGCAAAGAAAAAGTTTTAAAAAACAACGTTATTAACCGGTATGTTTTCTACTCAAACCGGTTTCACAGAGGAACGTAGGAACAGAAACTTTCAAATACCGTTTCTGCTCTGAGTGAACCAATCTTTTTTTTTTCTTCTCGTTTTTAAGCCCTGCTTTATGCAATTGATCAGTATTGGAATCGGCCAATAGTTGTTTGTTAAAGGGGTCATATGATGCTGCTAAAAAGAACATTATTTTGTATATTTGGTGTAATGAAACGTGTTTATGCGGTTTAAGGTTAAAAAAACACATTATTTTCCACATACTGTACATTATTGTTTCTCCTCTATGCCCCGCCTTTCAGAAACGCGTCGATTTTTACAAAGCTCATCGGTCTGAAAAAGCGAGGTGTGCTCTGATTGGCCAGCTATCCAGTGAGTTGTGATTGGCCGAATTCCTCAAGCGTGTGACGGAAATGTTACGCCCCTTACCATACTGTGATGCCGTGTCCCGGCGGAGCGACGAGACAAAAACATTAAAACCCATTACAAAAGAGGCATTTGTTGCATCCAGTGGGGGGCGGCAACAATACTACAGCGAGAATAAAAGTTACTCCTTCTTTCTTTGTGTGAACATTTGGGCGGTGTTATGCAAATCTTCGCACATCGTGACGTAGACATGTGGGGGCGTGTTAGAACGAGCCGTTTTAGGTAGGTGTGGCTGACTCTTAACTTTTATAAAGAATATCCCTTTGGATTTGAGACTTTAGTCTTTGCAACTTTACAGATCTTCTTTATGCACCAAGAGCTTGTAACACTCCAAAGAGAAAGGAACAATTGAAATTGCATCATATGACCCCTTTAAAATCGGTATCGGTATCAGCCAAAAAAAATCTTACCGGTGCATTCCTAGTCGTTTTGCTTGTGAAAATCTTTTGAAGATGAAATCTTTCAGTTAAATGGATTGAAAACAGTCACAGTTTTTATCTTGAGTGCATGTTAAGCTATTTTCCTGTCATTGAACGGTCTCCAGGGGCTATTGGTCTTCGAGCGCTGATTGACTTTTTTGAGTGGCTGAAGCAATGCGAGACAGATGCTATTGATAAGCATCTCTCGGGAGTGAGAGCAACAGAGAAAGCGTCCAATAGTTTCGGGCCATGAGATGGAGTGCATCTCAAGGAGGTTGTTGGTGTCACTTCACCTGTAGCTCAGCTGTTTGCGTTGATTCTCATGAGAAGCATCTGCTGTCATTCCTGGCAGCGCTCGGAAGACTTCTTGTAAAACTTTTGTGTAAAAGGGAGAGGAAGGAGAGATGTTGTGACGAAGGAGGAAGTTATGTGGAAGGCCATGACCCAACAAACCACTCAAGTTTAAGTAAAAAGTCAAAGGAGCCAGATTCTTTAAGCCGAACATGACTTCTGCCCTTAAAACACACACTCTTTCCGTTGATGTTTTTGCATATTGTGGTTGTTTCTAATTTTAGACCATATTGAATTCCATCAAAAAAAAAATCTCTTTTTGGAAAACAAGAATGTTGTGCTGGAAAAGTGGAGTGCTTCATGAGGCCGTTTACTTTCCTCTTACTTTTCTGCCAATTTCTTCTTTATGCCTTCAAGGCTATTCTGACTTTTCCCCCCCTCGTCAGCTGTCAACGGTCTAAACTTCGACAGCTAGATTTGTCCCATTTTTAGTTTCACTAACAAGTGTGTAACAACTTTTGCTGCTGTATTGTTTTTTCTTCTGTGCATCCTCTGCTGATGTTCTCTTTGCATATTTTGCAGGTGTTTGATCTGCACTCCTAAGTCAGATGGAAATATTTTCCAACAGCTGCAACAAGTTTCACTTTGCAACAAATGAACATTATTGTGAACATGACTGTAAACAACTGTCTTTTTCCATCTCTGGTTTTAACTGGCAGTGCATATGAGAAAAACACAGTTTTTAAGCTTGCCATTAGTCAGGGTTTATAGATTATAACAATTAATGGTTGTTTTTGTCCTGATCTCTTTATAAATGCAGCCGTCCAGTTTATGAAAGCTGAGGTCTGCATGAACTGTCCTGCCAAGTCAATTAAGGATGTGCATCACATCACATCGTTTTATTTGTTAATTTGCGCTCATAAAGTGGTTATTTTTATTCCCTTCAATATTTTTTATATTCCCATTTTCCTTGCTTTTTGCATTTATTTCAAGTCTTTCGTTCCTATGCTTCACTCATTGTTTTTCTGATCTCTCCTGTCTGTTTCGGTCTGAGTATGGCTGATCTTACAACGGATCATTAAGGCAGGATTAACTCCTGGGCTGGGGTCCATTAAGTATTTCAAAGCTCGAGTGCTGCTGTTCCAGGGTCTGTTCCATCACATCAGTGCCGTTTATCTTTGGTCTTAAAACCAGATAATACATCAGCACTAAGACTTTTAGGTGCTGCCGAATATGTGTCTTTTCGCAGTTGGTGAGCGAACTGCCTTACTGACAGAAGCTAATGCAATCTCTCTTTCTCACAGGCTGATTTGACAGGGATAAAATGGAAGAGGTACGTGTGGCAAGGTCCGACCTCGGCGCCCATCCTGTTCCCGGTCACCGAGGAGGACCCCATCCTCTGCAGCTTCAGCCGTTGTCTGAAGGCGGATGTGCTGAGCGTGTGGAGGCGGAGCCAGAGGCAGGGACGCCGGGAGCTCTGGCTCTTCTGGTGGGGCGACGATCCCAACTTCTCTGAGCTCATCCACCACGAACTGACAGGTAAGCTTTTGCGCGCAACTCTGAGCTTGTTCCAAAACCTAGTGAGCTGCCCACCTAGATAGCATCTTTGAGCATTGTCAGTGTGAAAAGTACTGGTGCTTTTGTATCAAGTTGATATACACATAAAAAAGATGGGGCGATATGCTATCATGGCACACTAGGGCTGTCAAAATGACAGAAAAACTAAATTTGAATTTTCCACTTAAATATGATCAAAATTCGAATTATATTCTAATTTGAAAGGCATAATTTCAGTTAGGGGGAAAAAAAGCTTTTGGCTTCTCTCCTGAGTCCACAAGAGGGCGCATCGAGTCAAAATTCGATTTTTAAAAAATTTTTTAATTGTATTTTTTTTACAGCCCTATGGCACACCTAAGTACCTTTTCATGCTGTCTAGGTAGGCAGCTCACTATGTTTCACTGGCTCTAACGAAAAGTCCTTTGTTTTGCGTTTTTCAGTTTCTTTTTTCCTTTTCGCCCACTTTATTTCTCTATCGACTGTGGTCTCTCTGAATTTCTTCCTCCTCCTTCCTCTCTCACACCCACACACTCTTTGCGTGTGCATTTTAGTTACTTGTCATCAAAATGTGCCGTAGGCCCAAGCAAAGATCTTCGGTTATTGTTTCTACAGTCCCAGTTTAGTAGTCAGCGTCTGTCGCTTGCGGATAAACCTAAAAAGTGTGCCATTAAGTTTATACAAGTTACAATACTTTAAATGTTTGCAAGAACTGTTAAGAGTGATAAAAATAGATCAAGAGCCTTCTGTTGTGTTTGAACTGACTTGTCTGAAGGTGTTTGATTCATCTCTGTAGAAGTGATCACCTGTAGATCTGTGCGGCAGAAATGATGTGAAATGCCTTTATAATTGCGTTTTCTTTTAAGATCAGTTCTCGCTCTGCTAACCCAGACCTGAGGGTTATTGTTGTTTTGGGTTAGTGTTGCATTGTATTAAACAGAGCAGCGGAGTCTGTGTGACGGCGTCACATCTCATCCGATGTGTGTGAGTGCAAATCCCTCGGTTTGATGAAAGGCAAAAGAAAGGAATTGGAAATATCGAATAAGTTTTGCTTCATTTTTATTTCTTAAGCTCTTTGAAGGATGGAATAATGAAGAGCATCGAAGCATGAATGAGCAGAAAGCATCATGGATGTCTGTGGAAAAGCTTTCATTTTCCACCTTTCTTTCTTTCCCTGTTTTTTTTCTCCTTTCCTTTATGGCCCAAGGAGATGGATCTGTCCCATCTTTATTCATGCCTTCTTTTACAGTGAGAAACAGAAGGAAAGAAAAATGGGATGATATAGAGAAATAGGAAGAGGCGATTTATTTTTTTCCTTTGTCCATTGACCCTCCCTCATTGCCGTTCATTGTGCTAGAGGAGGGACAGAAATGGAGCCTTATGGGGAAAAGAATGACCAATTCACCCATTCCACGAGAGATATTGCTGTATTTTTCATTCGTTTGTGGAGATGTTTGCTATAATGGCTGCATCCCAGTTGTGCCTCATGACTCTCAGAGAAGTCAGACATGTGCTTCTCTCTTCCTCTTGACACCTCTTGTTTATTTCTTCACTTGTTGGTCTCCAGAACTGTGGGAACCCTGTAATATCAAGGAATTTTCTAAATGGTGATTTCGAGGCCTGGATAAGTAGTTTTTAGTGTGAACAAATTTTGTAAGTTAAACCCTGCTCTAAAATATTTATTTAATAAGAGATTGCTGATCTTGAACAGCCAGAAAAGTCAAGGAAGACTTTTATTTGGTCATAAGGTGTTGGAAAAACTGTCAGAAGTTATTACTGATTTTATTGCAGTTTTATTATATCCGAGTGCTAATTCAGATTTTCAAATGCTGCATTAAGCTGTGTACTTTAAATTTGTTCCTCTTGTAGGCATCTGTGGTTCTCTGTTCATCTAATTCAGGATCAGATAAAGTGTCAAACAGCCTGTGTTTCAGGACTAAATGTTATGCCTGCGGTCGTCTTGACATCAGCAGGGTCATAGCCACTTGACCTTCTCTCCTTGCAACAGACGTGTGAACCTGCTGCTCGTTCAACATCTCTCTTGACACACACTTCTTGATGTCTTTCTCACAAACACACATGCAGTCGACTTTCTGCTGGCCCTCGTACAAACACAGCGGAGGCCCACGGGATGCAATAAAGATTAAGCTCTTAAGACACACACACGTGTAAATATATTCGCCTGCGCTGGACCACGGAGCACCTGATCTAGATCCCTACTGGCACCTTGGCAGTGAAGGTGTGAATCAGTGAACAGCAGGTCCAGCGAGACTTTAAAGGGGATAGAGAGAGAAAGAAAGATGGCACTATCACTTCTGTTGTACGCTTCACTTGAGGAACACACGTCTCCGAAGGTTTCAAGAACCAAGTGAACAGGCCGGAATTCATGTGTCTTGCCGTAATTAAGCCTTGTGTCAGAAATTCAGCACAGGAGATTCACAAAGGCTTGGAAATCTGAAGATTTGCATTGGATATAGTGGCTAGAGCTGCTGCTGACCTCTTCATCACCATATTCTCCACTCTGTCTCAGATTTTAAAACTCTGTTTACACCTGGTGTTAACATGCATCTCAAATACATCTCTTGTGAACACTTATCACATATTTTGGCAGTGTTACTTGATGCTGATAGTCAAAACATACACTATTGTTCAAACGTTTTGGGGTCGGTAAGATTTTTTAAATGTTTTTGAAGTCTCTTATGCTCACTAAAGCTGCATTTATTTAAATAAAAAATACAGTAATATTGTGTTATGTTAATATATTTTAAAATGCAGTTTATTCCTGTGATGGCAAAGCTGAATTTTAAGCAGCGCAGCCATTTCTCACAAATTTTTGCAGTGATTTTTCAGTTGTTTAACGTAAATAATATTTAGAGCTGTGTATGTAACAGGCTTTTTTTTTTGCTGATCAGATGGTTGTCCTAACTGTCAAAGTTTAATTCTGTCTTTTTAGCTGCTGGGTTTATGATGATATATTGACGTAGTTTTCTGCATACTGGTCGATAAATAAGAAAGAAGTCAGTTTTGGCCCGGAACAACCTTTTCTACAGTGGAAATGCACGGAACGGTTCGAGAAAGGACACAAATCTAGGAACCCGCACCACGACGCGACCGCTGTTCTCTGTGCTTGCGCTTCAGATGTGTGCACTGCACGCAAACAAGGCGCAAGTTCTTTCCGTTCCTTCAATTAAATCGTTTTAAATCACATTAAAATGCGAACGCAGGAATCGTGAGTGTGGTTTCAATTATGTGATCCACAAACGTTTTGAACCGCATTTACTCCTGTATTCAGCTTGGCCCACTTGTGATTGGATGTTAATACAATAGTGTAACTCGGAGGCTTTGTCTGGGGCTGTTTCAGCTCAGATGTTGGTGTCTCCGCATGTTTATTCGTCCATGTTTGTTCCTTCTCCCCTCGTACAGCTTGTTAAAGTCTTAAAATTTTGCGGCAAGTGCCATTCCTGTTTGTTAACTAATCACTCCTGTCTCAAGGATAGAGCAAGTGAAGGAAGAACTTGACGGATCTTCTGAAGCCTCGTATTTAATCACCGAGTGAGTGGAAGAAAACATGGAGTGCTGTTTCGGAGATGTAATGAGACAGGAGGCCATTTGGCTGATGTTTGAGAGGCAACTTTACCCGACTCTGAATGGAACGCGGGAGAGAGCCAATCCCAGTACTCCGCTTGTTATGTGATGGAATGATCTGTAATAACCGAACTGCCATTGGAGTAAATGAGCATCTCCTCGATAGACCACGGCCCTCTATTTTTATGTAAATGTCCGATCGCTTCCCCTCCCCCTTGCTGCTCTCTGTTCCCGTCGGTGGCGCTTACTGATGTCGGTTCTATCCAGGGGCATCCACAGAACGAGACATGAATAAGGTCTTTTTTCCCTCCTCTTTTCTGTCTCTTTCTCTCTCCCTCCCCTCTGCTTTTCCTCTCTCTCCCTTTTGCCTCCCTCCTTCTCTTTTTTTCCCCCTTTTCTCTCTCTCTGATCTTTTTTTGCATAGAAATTAAGGAGCTGTAGTCTGTCTGTAAGGGTAATTGCTGTAGGGCTCATTTCTTCCTCATTTTTCCTCCTCTGACAATCGTCTGCTAAACTCTCTCGCTCCCTCCCCCGTCTGCCAGTCTCCCTGTGGTGCGAGTTGTGCTGGCAGCTTCTCTCTCCCTCTCCCCTCTTCTCTCTCTCCCTCCTCTGGGTTTTTTCACGAGTGCTACCTGTTTACCACATAGCTCAAAGACAGCTGCTGGTGATACCCATTATGCTGAAGGCTGACGGGCTTTCAGGCTATAAAATTAAAGCTCATAGTCATACCGACATTTATTTTGTTTAAATGATGTTTAAATTTATGATTTGAGAAAAAAGGAGAGCACTAGTTACTCTAAAAAATTTTTTTTTAAATGTTTTTTTTATTTTTTTATTTTATTATTATTTTTTACTTTTACAACCAAACTCTTACAACCACATTTTATTTACTACTAGTGCTAATTATTATTATTATCATTATTTTTTTTTTCATTCACAATCAAATTTTATTTATTTACTAACATTATTATTTTTTTCCTTTTACACCCTGGTTTTATTTATTTATTCCCTGTTCGACAACCAACTAACCAATCATTCATTAATAAGTCAAAAATATTGGCCAAACCTATTTTGGGTCAGTCTTAAGTTTTTGCTGTGTGGGGCCACTACAAAACTAACTGCTCCATATAGTATAGAAATGACACACTGCACCTTTAATATGTGTGCAAGTGTTAGTTGGAGCAGTAAGCCAAGTACACCGAGAGCCCGTCAGTCGCAGTAATTACAGATTGGCCTCTGAGAGTCTCCCACCAACATAATGACACAAGTTGTGATGAACACACTTTTAGTATTTGTCCGGGTGTCACATAGGCCATGACTCTTAGGCACACTGGTGGTGTGCTTGCGGCTTGACTGGAACTGTTTGTCAGACACATGAGCCGTGCATTTAAGAGCAGGAA